ATTCTCGGTTGTATATGACCTTTCTTTTCTCCCCTTTTCTCTATCAAAAATAAAGAAATTATAAGATGGAAAAGGAATGGATTTTCTAACTCTTTTCCTTATTCTCACTCTTAAAAAAAGTATATTTTTTCTTTCATGATAAATAGACAAAGCAAGAAAGCACCAGAAAACGCATACACCATTTCACTTCTTCGCCTTTTGTCATCTTAAGCATGCCTCCCAAAAAACTTCACGCAGCAATACTATGCAGTCCAGGTGTCGGTCATCTAGTTCCAGTATTATTACTTGGCCGCCGTCTTATCAATCACCACAACCTCCATGTCACCGTCCTCGCCGTCACCACCGCCACCTCAACAGCGGAATCCCAACTCCTCAAATCCTTGACCGCCGACATCCACCTTCCAGTCATCCAAATTCCTGCTGCAGACATCTCCGAAGTCGTTTCTCCAGATTCCAAAGTGTTCACTAAGATTTGCGTCATGATGCGGGAAACAATACCCACCATCCCCGTACCACCATATCCTCCATGGACCCTCTTCCCGACATCCTCGTCGGCGATATTTTCTCATCGGAATCTTGGGATATAGCCGAAGAATTTGGGATGGCAAAGTATGTGTTCGTCACTTGCAGCGCATGGTGCACCGGACTGATCTCTTACTCCCCGGTGCTAGATAAGAAAGTGGCAGGTCAATATGTTGACCAGACAGAGCCGTTTGAGATACCGGGCTGTAAACCGTTCCGGCCGGAGGATGTTATGGATCCCATGCTGGATCGGGACGATGAAGCCTATCGGGCTTACGTAAACCTAGCAGTTGGTGTAACGTTAGCAGATGGTTTCTTAATCAACACATGGGAAAATCTGGAACCACAATCTCTTCACGCTCTCAGAAATATCGAGATTTTACGTTCCATCCTAAAAAACAAACCGGTTTACACGGTTGGTCCGATAACCAAAAAATACGAACAGGTCGGCTTGAAGAGTGAGGTGATTGAATGGGTTGATAAACAGCCGGAAAGGTCAGTCATATACGTATCTTTTGGAAGCGGCGGAACCTTATCAGCCGAGCAAATTACGGAGCTGGCTTGGGGATTGGAGCTGAGCCAACAAAGATTTGTTTGGGTGGTCCGGCCACCTGCTGGACATATCAGAGACGGGACTTTTTTGGAATCTGGTTATTCCGGTGAACCAAATGGTGAACCTGGTTATCTTCCAGAAGGGTTCTTGAGTGGAACCAGGGAAATAGGTTTTGTTGTGCATTCATGGGCACCACAGGTGGAGATTTTGAACCACGCGTCGGTTGGGGTTTTTTTGACACACTGTGGATGGAACTCAATGTTAGAGAGCATCAGCAGTGGGGTAGCCATGATAGCATGGGCGTTGTATGCTGAACAGAGGATGAATGCAACGATGCTAACGGAGGAGCTGAAGGTGGCAGTGAGACCGGAGGTGTTGCCGATGAAGAAAGTGGTGGGGAGGGAGGAGGTAGAGAGGATGGTGAGGGGTTTGATGGAGGGAGAAGAAGGAAAAGCAATGACAGAAAAAGTAAAGAGATTAAAGGAAGGTGGGGAGGAAGCATTGAGCGTAAATGGTTCGTCTTATATTTCAACATGTAGATTTGTCGAGGATTGCTGGTCTCGAATTCAGCTGCCAATCTGAGCATGCATTAAGATAGAAGCAAATATCACTTGGCATTTCGGTATGCAGGGCAGGTCGGCGAACAAAAAAAAATGGGTTTTTCATAATGATATACTTATAATTGTATATAACATTACCAATGCAAATATGATCATTTTGATATTTTGTTAAGTGAGGGCCAAAACAGAAGCAATAAACCAAAAATACTCTAGAGGTATAAGAACAATCAAACGAATAAAAAGTATAATGCAAGTCAGCTCCCACAACCTACAAAACCAAATTATATTTATTTTTCCATGTTTACCCTTTGCAACAAATCAATAGAAAATTAACATCAGGAAGTATGAACCAAGATGGCAGGAACAATTTTAAAAAATACTTATTTTTCATGTTTGCCCTTGGCAATACACAACTGTTGTGGGGATATAACACAAATAGCAAGGTACATTAAATTATTGTTCATCAGCAAACCAACAACTCCGGTAGCATGTGGGACAAAAACCTGCTAAACCTGCTGTTGTTAGTTGTTAAAAACCTCCAAGCAGTTCAGTTGACAAAAGCCAATACATCATTATAAAAAATCTGAAATCAAACTTCGAAATTCATATTACACAGTGTAAGAAAAATAATCAAAATTTAGAATGATAGAATCAACTTTAGAAAGAATTAGAAATTTCAAGTAGCTTTAAACTTACACATATTCAGATTCAGAAA